TAAGATGCATGTGTATCTTTCTTGCTAATTGAATTTTTGTATACTTACATAATGTTTTGTGGAAGGGTTGTGATATTTTTTTAATAAGAATGTAGCTTTAGATAACTGCTAATAAAATAATTATTATTAACATTAATAGGAATACATATATGATTGATGTCGTCTGTTACTATAACAGTAATTTCATCAGAAATATTATGAACTCGTTTTAGATGGATCGGTGGGTCAAGTTAATTGTCGATGTTAATGATGTTACATAAAATTTTTTTTTTTTTGGTCATTCCATCAATCATAAAATCTACGAGGTAAATATACTTACAATATTTCGTTCTTGCATACGAATTACTAGAACAAAAGTTTCTTTTGGTTCACGATGTGTAGATGCATCAGTCTTTCACAATTTTTTGATACGTCTGGCAAAAACCGAGATATTAAAAATGCGTCAAAAGACGTGTTAAATTAGTTCAAGTTAGCTGAAAATTAAATATGTTACATACATAAGTGTGTTTAACATTAAAAGCCAAGTCCGATCGAAAAATTCTAGAATGGCGATGGATGGCAATATTGTTAATTAAAAATTTTCATTTCTCGTACTATTGGTAAACCATGATGAATCGAGATCTGAGTTTTTGGAACCACTAGGTACTAATAATATCTTTGATCCCTTAATAATTTAAGTTTTTAACTAAACAAACAATAAGATTATTTAATAAAAATTTGTAACAGAGGGCCCTACTTTTGTAACCAATTTTTTTTCATTTGTAATTAGTGGTACTCGATTAGTCTTATTTTTAATGAACTAAAAAAAAAAAATTTCTGTACGGTCAATAGAAGCTAAAATACTAGTTAAAAAGTGTAGGCATTATATTTAAGCTACTATTGATCCTGTAAGAATAATATATTTTTTTCAAATTCATTAGAAAAAAGCGCAATCAAGTGCCACAAGGTAGAAATTAAAAAAAAAAAGTTATACAAATACGGTCCTCTGTTACAATTTCGTATTAAATAACTTTATTGTTTGTTTATTTAAAAATCTACCTTTTAGAGAGATCAAAGATATCATTAGTATCTACCGATTTAAAAAAAAGCAGATCTCGATTCATTGCGGTCAGCCAATTGTACGAGGTATCGAAATTTTTAATCAACAATTTTGCAAAAAGTCGCTATTTTAGAATTTCGCGATCGGACTCGGCGTTCAATGTAAACCACACTTATGTTCGTAACATATCCTATTATCAGCCAATTTTAACTAATCTTACATGTATTTTGACACAATTTTTATTTTTCAGTTTTTTTACTTTTTCACTTGTGTAAACGATGAAAATTTATTTTTGGATTTTTTTCACACTCAATCCATATACAAAATTATTTTTCAAACAACTTTTAATTCAACGTTTCCTTATATATTTGATAGTCTTCAAGACATTTAGGAGAATTTAGAAAAACCAGAAAAATCATTTATTTTGCATGAAAAAATTTACAACACGTGTGTTGGCTTATGTGAAGACTTTCAGGTATTGTTACTTATATTTTTTCCTTCATTTTAATCGTAAATACGCATCGATAAGATTAACCACTACTTTTCTAGTTTTGAGTTTCTATAACTCTGCTGGATCAGAGACGACGTTATTATTACCAAAAAAAGATTAGTAATGTTAAAAAAATATTACTTCAATTAATAACTTACAGTGACCTTATTAAAAATAATATAATTTTCTTATGAATGGTTCAACGTCAAAAAAATAAAAAAATTGATCTCAAAAAAGTGATCTTAAAATTCATATATCATAATTATGATAGTCATGAAAGATAAAATTTTTTCTAAATAATATTCTTGACCATTTAATTATTATTACTTATTGCTGTAAGTCGTATACACTTTATTATACGGTTGACGTATAAGTAACAAAATTAAATTGGATTAAAAATTCGTAAAAATACTATTAACATTACCAGCTTGCAATCCACGACTTCACTTTTAGTTTTTATATTTTACAATACAGAGAATAAAAATTATGACGTTCTGTATGTTGGTTTCTACTAGTATTATACGCGGTCAAAGAAACCATTGCTTTGTTCCTTTGAAATTAAATGAGCAAAAAATAGGGTCCTCAGTTAAAAAAGTTAACAATAAAGCTGCACCAAATTGCTCCAGTTATTTAGTGTATCCTCATTCTAATATCTTATATTTATTCACGTTATATTGACAGCAGAATATTTTTTTCATGTGCGTATGAACTTTTGTACTGGAATATCACAACTCTTGAAATTAACTGTCTTCCACATGGCTTATTAACATCCATATGGTCTACCTACTTCTATATCGTTAACCTTCTACCATATGGCTTACGCACTTTTATATGGTTTATTTATATGGATATTTTAAACGAAAGCCATATAGAAAATCCATATGGATTTTCCATGTAGTTTTTCAATATGGTAAATGTATATGGTTTTTTTCAATAGAGAAGACTTGGAACTTACTATTAACAATGATGATGACCTTGCATCCCAAGCAGGTATTTATCTTTTGAGCTCTGTTACTATACATCACTCATCCTTTTGAAACTCTGATAACTTTCTTTTTAGGAAGTAGATGTTGTTGGTAATACAACTTTACCCAGTAAAGTCCATTTTTTAAACTATCTAAAAATTTACTTACTATGTATTATAGTTTACAGTATTTTGAGTTAAAGTAGCTACTCTCTTTTAAGTTAAGCTTCATTTTTTAATAAATAAAAAGAGTTTAAGCCTTTGTAACTTATTTAGTGGTGCCTTCTGATTTGTTTGACATTAAAGTGATGTCTGGAGGCTGGTCCGCATCCTTATGTAGGGCTAGGTTCTGTATCTTACATGGAAAAGGATCCGATATACTCTCTGACTCATTAAGCATTTAAATTAGTTCTACAGGCTTAAGTACTTCCTGATATAAAGATATTCTCTCTTCAGGAGCTCCTCGCACTCCAACATCTCCTACCTCCACTGGCTGTCGCTCTCTGTCTCCTTCTACTACTTTTTTGTCTTGCTGCAGTAGGATTTTAAGGAACGCTTTATTCTTCTTATCAACTATAAATTTTTTCCCCTAAGGCCGTGTATCCATAGAGTCCAGCAGTTGATGGCTCTTATTATCTTTTGGAATGAGAGCTATTTTTTCCTGTTTCTCAGTGTTAACAATATAGTGCTTGGAACAAATAAGATTTTATACGCATGGTATTGTAAATCCTTTGCTTATTCAAGTGAGAATAGAAATGTTTTAAGTATCGCAAGGCTGAATACCGATAACTTTAGATGAGGTGGCAGAGGGTGACCTTGATCTGAGGTTACTTTTAACATCTAGAAGTATATTTAAGTTGGCATGCCTAGTGCAGCTCTAGTTAGACAAGATGTATAAGCAAAGCCCTCAGGTAGCATAACTGTGGATGACGTAACACCTACCTCTAGTTGCTGAAATCATAGTGACGCTCACTAAGATATCGTGAAGAAAAGGTACCGTCGACGGATAAGCTCTAAATTTTATGGTTGTTAGTCGTAGAATTGGCTCTGGACCTGATGGATCAGCAAGAAACGTGTTGCAAAAAAATAAGGCTTCTACATGAAGCATGTAGATTATTGGCGGGTCAACTGCTTGTGATGATACCACTTCTTTTGAGAGATTAGAATGGTCTGGGACACGAATTAATAGATAATATAAGAATTGTCACAAATTTAGCCCATAAGCTTTCGTTCATCAACGGTAGAAGATCCATTAGGATTTACTGGCAGAAATTTGTCTGAAGTATTAAGCAAAGAAAAAAAGCTTAGAAAAGACAGTTTGATTCTTCGTTTGAAGTTAACTTTGTTGCTTACACTTGTGACAAATTGAGAAAATTTTTTGCATAGCAACAAATGTTTTAACGGCTTGCAGCAACTGTTGGCTTTTTCTGGAAATTATATTGACTAGAAAGGTACAGCTAGGCTTTAACTGGCTGAGAGAGATCAAAAAGTAACGTTGATACGATGAAATCATAGCAAGAGCAAACACCCAAAAGTGCAAGTACCTAGAAGGAGTAAGGTCGCAAAAAAGAAGCAGTTATCACTATTCTCTACAGATACATAGTAAGCGTAACATTCGCAAGGAGACCAAGCTCACAGTTTCATGCTCTTTATTTAGAATTAAAGGCTCACTTGGGTTCGCATAATAGTTTTACGGTAGCTCCATAGTGCACTACTAAGAACAGAACATGTCATAAGAAGTACGAGATGTTCTAATGTGGAGCAGCTCGTTGCTCACTAAAATCTTAAAAAATTTTCTTCAAGAACCTTATAGTAGCTTGTTAACAATAAGTCCAGTATAAGTCATTTCAATTGCTTATAAAAAATACATAACAATTTGAATAACTACCAGAATATTTACGATAACGGTAATGGTGATAAAGATAACGATCCTGATACTGAAGGTAGTAATAAAAAAAACTCATGATAGTTACGACGAAAAAAATGACGATGATGAAGACGACGATCACGACGACAACACTCATGACGATAATGACCACAACGATGACAACAACGATGACAACGACGACGATGATGAAGACAATGACGATGATGATGAAGATGATGATGATCATGATTTGATTACACATTTTTTCGTTCCATGTATGGGAGTTTTTTGTGCACTACCATTTCAAAATTTTTCCCCATCAAATTGCATATTGTTTCTAATGAAAAGAATTTACACGGGACAAAAATCGTCTGATATACACCTTATTATAATTACAGGATAAGAATCTACTAGCACTTTAATTTTTTTAGCTCGAAGGTTATCACGTTTATAACTTTTTGTGTACCTATGGATTACTTATTCCTCATAATTTGTAGTTTTTAGGAGTTTTTTAAACATTTTTGCATTATTTTTTTAGTCTCTTAATCTTCTACTATAATGCACAATATTTATTTGAAAAAAAGTCTACAGTATTAACAGACTAGCCAAAGAAAAATATGCTTAATGTAAATCAACGTACTTGTTCAAACGATTTGAGTCCAGCTTCGTTACCCCAGTTTCTTATATCTTCAAGTATCAAGCGCTTAACATTAATATTAGCACATAGTACACTTAATGTACCAGCTATTTTATTCTCTGTTGCCCAACATTTGACAATATCAACATCTGGAACTATAACTGCAACAATGCACGACTTAAGGGACTCACCATACACAAAAATTTGATGGACATATTGACTCTTCATGTATATATTCTCAATTTTTTCTGGAACTATATATTCTCCTTGAGATAGTTTGAAAATTTGCTTTTTACGATCAATTATTTTCAGCGTCCCATTCTAAAACCAAAAATTTTTGTTTGTTTACTTGTGTAAGAAAAATGGCTTCAGTCTTTTTTTAAACCTAAGCATTACTCTGCTTAAAAATTTTTAGGTATCATTGAGTAAATTATCACTTAACTTAATCAAAATGTTGAAAGAATACATTTTTGTCATGGCAAAAAATTTGAGTTGGTTAAATAATTCTAACATTGTTACAAAAAATTTGATATCTAAAGAAAAAAATTGGTACAATCTCAACGTAAAGAAGTCATTCAATTAAAACAAACGGGACAAAAATTTATATTAAGCTGTTAAACTTAAGACCCTTAGTAAAAGTGACACTTTATGACGGTTTGTTACTGGACTTCATGTTATTATAATTAAATTTCCTAGAAATGGCATTTTTTGGCACATTGTGGTTTCCTTTAAAATACAAGAATTTTCTCAGTTCTCTAAGGGTATGTGGTTAAAAAACTATTTTAAAACAATCTTTTTACGTTTATACAAACATAGTATACATTTGTGTAAATAGTTTTAGACTTTTTTTTTCGAATGATATAGCCAAAACAAAAATTTTTAAGATTATATTTATACATCCGTTAATATATTTTCTAATTAATCTAGATTGGCACAATTCTATATTTTTGTTACCCTTTTGAAAGCCATTAAAGGAACTTTAGCGTTGGAAAACAACTCCAATAGAAATGAAAACTTATATGAACATTCGGTGTCAGTAAATGCACACCCCGTCGATAGATTGAAAGATAGAGCAACTGTCTAGAAAACAGAACGTAGTGAGCCTAATCTAAGAGAGATAATTTTCTAGTTCATACTTATTTCGTAAACATTTCTTGAAATAAAACATAATAAAACTTTTATCTCTAATCTTAAGAGTTTTGTTATCAGAAAGGACGCAGATAGGTCCAAGAGTACTTATTTAAAGGTACTTGCATCCATTGGTGCCGATTAATATAATGATAAATATATCAAAACTAACTTGATTACCTAGTACAGTCACTCAAATAATTTTATTTTCATATTTTCAGCAGTCTCTGTATTGTATGGTGCTTAAAGTATTTATCAAATGCTTGGTCATGAAAAATTTTTTGAAAAACATGATTTGATAAAGTTAACCATACAGTCTTTTTATTCTTATATATTATCAATACACCTCCTAAATAATGACTGTCATCACCGTTAAATTCAACTTATTAACGATAATTAATTTATTAAAAATTTTCCGATCGTATGACATTAAAACATTTAATAATTCTATACATTTACAATTATTGTAACAATATGAAATTAAGCATACATCATATTTGTTACAGCGTAATAAGAATGGATAAGGTGGCTCGAACGACTAAAGGGATACAACTTTTTAATAAGTACCCTAACATAAATTTTTATATCCAAATTCCCAATGCCTGTTATCTCTCTACAAAATACACAATAATCTCTTACAGCACATGAAAATAAAATTACTACAAGGAGAATATCGACTTCTAAAGGAAGTCTCACTTAAATTAATGGCCAAATTTTCTGATTATCAATAAGAAATAAATATTACTCTTTAGTGAACCCAAAGTTTTGTACTAAGATAATTTCTATCTTGACTTTCTCCTGACCATTTCCTATAAGTCTATAAATTCTAAAAATCATTTATGAAAATTTGGGCCAGTTTTAAAACACTACAGTATATATGTACTACACAATATTTAATTAAATAAGAAGGGCGTTCAACATAACTCCTACTGTCTTTCAAAGTAACCACGACTGCTCCCCCTCACTGCCTAACACAGCCACTAAACAATTCAGGAGAAAATAAGTCTTTTTTATCAGTTATTTTAACCCAATAGATATTAAGCTAAATCTTTCACTACCCTTACGACCCTACCTTGCCCCCACACGATTTGTTTGAACTCGATCATCGTTCCCACTACCACCCAGACAATTTTTCTGGTCCCATACTTATTTCGAAGTGTCCACATAAATGCTTAAAAAAGTTAAATAATACGATCCCACATCATCTTTTGTCTCTCAGAAAACATTCTTACACGGTTTTTCGAAAAAATTGTACTCATACCCATGAACTTTCTTCGAATCTTGAAAAAAATTAACGATGGAGTAAAATAGATAAGCTCAACAGATACTAATAATACACATAGAAGTAAATAATAATTCATTTGTAACAAATTTTTGTTGCTTACACTTGTGACAAATTGAGAAAATTTTTTGCATAGCAACAAATGTTTTAACGGCTTGCAGCAACTGTTGGCTTTTTCTGGAAATTTTAACTAAACAAACAATAAGATTATTTAATAAAAATTTGTAACAGAGGGCCCTACTTTTGTAACCAATTTTTTTTCATTTGTAATTAGTGGTACTCGATTAGTCTTATTTTTAATGAACTAAAAAAAAAAAATTTCTGTACGGTCAATAGAAGCTAAAATACTAGTTAAAAAGTGTAGGCATTATATTTAAGCTACTATTGATCCTGTAAGAATAATATATTTTTTTCAAATTCATTAGAAAAAAGCGCAATCAAGTGCCACAAGGTAGAAATTAAAAAAAAAAAGTTATACAAATACGGTCCTCTGTTACAATTTCGTATTAAATAACTTTATTGTTTGTTTATTTAAAAATCTACCTTTTAGAGAGATCAAAGATATCATTAGTATCTACCGATTTAAAAAAAAGCAGATCTCGATTCATTGCGGTCAGCCAATTGTACGAGGTATCGAAATTTTTAATNTATATATTTTTTTTATTATAGTGCTCTACGTCCAGCTCCCCTGTTAAGGGCACTACTATGGGCACTTAGCATTTGGGAAAGGGACAAGGAAAGGGGTGGGAGGCCACCCATTGAAGCAGGGGGTAGGGGGAAATTAGGCAATTTTCGCTGCGAGAAGGTCGCCTAAACCCTCCTCGAGGAGCGTTGCGTGGTAAAAAAGCACATGTGAAAAATCACAGAGGTACTTGCCTGAAAAGTCGCACTGGCCAGTAATTGAGCCATGGTCTCCCGCGTGCCAATCCACGACCTAGCTGACTGAGCCACCGCACGCATTACAATTTGATCACTATCTATCCTAATTTTTCACACTTATAAAATAATAGAAACAGTGAAAATTCCACCTAATAAATATGACTCATTCTTACGAGGCCTTTCATACTGCCCTACGGAATCGTGATACAATATTCTTCTACTACCTATTTTTTAACATAAGTAGTTATGTAAAGGTTAAGTACACGTTATAGAATGTTATTATTCTTACCCCTATTTTTACAGTCTGTACGTCATCGAAACTGTAATAAAAAAATGATTTGATAACAAAATAATCATTTATATAAAAAATAATTCAGTTAATTTCATAAATATTTTGATACAATAGTGTCATTCAATTAAAACCTTATGTCTAAACAACTCTGCAATATTTTCTGTTCCTACTTTATCAACTATCTCACTTTTCTTTTTGCATTGTGATAAAGCTAAATAAAGTTAGCCATAGAAAAACAAAGATCACACTAAGTACACATCTACCTTATTAAAACCTCGTTCGTCAGACTTAACAAAACTTATAGTAAAATTAAATTAGCTTTTTAAAGAATTTAATTGCTATTTGCATCAAAAAAATCAATATGATAGTTATTTGGTATTTGAACAAATCTATATAGTTTTAGAATTTAAATTGTGTCAGCTAACGGCCCAAAAAAATGGTCAACGTGGTCGACAATTGTTTTTCACATTTAGAAAAGAACTGCAGAGTCGGACAAATAGTTTTGCTATTATAAAAAAGCGCAATTTCAGGACGAACAAAATAAGCTGCAGAGGGATAAAATTGGCCCATGTGTTTTTTTCGCAATATTAATGTTGTTAAAAACTACTCCATGTTGAAAAAAAAACATCAATTTATCTAACATGGTTCCCGAGATATTGTTATTTTTGATGCACGTTTTCATTTTGAACGTGGCTGCTCAGAAATTCTGGGGGCACGATGGGGAGAGTGGGCGTGGCCTACGTCAACGGCTTGATACGCCACCACATCCACGAAAAATAGCTGCTTTTTGTCATCAATTATTTGCGTACGTCCAGAATGTCAAACGAAACTATGTTTTGGTAGGTTGTGGAATAACTCTCGATGAGAACAATGCCGTCTGAAAAATGGCAATATGTTGAAAAATCAGCCATGTCCAACTATTTTGTGCAGGGACCATTTTTTGCTTCTTGCAGCGGAACGCAAGAAGCTTACAACCGATCTTCTTAAAGTTTCATGTGAATGTTAAGGAGGTTTGGGAGAAAAATTAAAAATGGAGAAATGTGCCACAAAAAATGTATGTTATATTTGAGCATGTTAAGAGTGCACATGAATTTTTTCAGATTTTTCACCAGGGGAAATTTTCGAGAAAAAAATTATGAAATATTGACAGTTTAACACGGTTTCTTATGAAAGAACAAGGTTAGGTTTGCCTTTTAATTAAAATTAAGGTATATTCTAAATGTGTTGGAATAAAAAAAAACGTTTTCATAGATAACTTGGTATAAAAAGAAGATGCTCGACAAAAAAAATCAAGCCCTGCCAGGCATTTTTCAAAAATATAATCAATTAAAGTCGTATAGTTTCAAGTTTGTAGAGTGCAAGAGGAGGTGCGCGGTAAAGGGGGTACATCTGCGCGGGCAGGGGGGACTCCCCGTTACTCACCTCTCTGAATGATACTCCCAAACCTTCTTAAGGGGCACAAGATCTACCTTGTATCCAGTTTTTAAGTCTTAATATTTAAATGAACGTGAGTTATAGATTTTTCAAAAAACGGTCCAAAATAGCACTTTTTGGCAAATTGCAAAAGAACGGCCGGGCCAGTTTTATTTCCCTGGAGCTCATTTTCTTTGTCTTGAAATTGCACATCTTTTTTAACCATTCAACTTTTTTGTCCGACTCTCGAGTTCTTTTCTAGATGCGAAAAACTGTTTTTCACCTTATTGACTTTTTTTTTGGGGCTGTTAGCTGACACAATTTAGA